GCTTGTCCCAGTCTACTCAGCTGTAAATGAGTATGTGGTTGGGCAGTGCTAGAAATGTAGAATGCTAGCTGTGAGTGCCGAAATGGCAGCACCAACTGTATGCTCCCCAGGGAGTTGAGAAAGATATTGACTGGTTGCAAATATATACAATGGAAGATATTATATATAATAAATGAGCATCACAGTATATATTTATTTTGCTGCACACTTAATAAGCATGTGACATGTCCCTGTAACCCACATCTAATTATAGGCAAGTAGCTATAGGGGAATTATTATTGGAAGCCAATATCAACACATCCAACTTATACAGCACATTAAAACAAGGGCCCCATGGGTTTAACAGGTCACCTGAGTTGTAATACAATTGTTATTTGTTGTTGTGATATGACAAAAACAAATATTACATATGTATAGCAAATTTTGTCTCTCCCTAATACTGAAAAGTCTCATTTCCATAAACTATAGCAAAATTTACCACACACACCCCCCTCCCTAGGAGTAAATGGGTGACAATTGATACAACAACATATATATCAGATTACACCTCATAAACCTTCTATAAATATCAGGTATACATCTCCTATCAATCAAATATGCATGACCTTCTCTACTACCAACACAAACCTCCCATACACAACCTTTACATCCTGCATCAGCTCCTATTAGTCAGGTATCACCTATACATCAGGTATACACCTCCCATACATCTGGTATACACCTCCCATACATCAGGTATACACCACCTATACATCAGGAATACACCTCCTATACATCAGGTATACACCTCCCATACATCTGGTATACACCTCCCATACATCAGGAATACACCTCCTATACATCAGGTATATACACCTCCCATACATCAGGTATACACCTCCCATACATCAGGTATACACCACCTATACATAAGGTAAACACCTCCCATACATCAGGAATACACCTCCTATACATCAGGTATATACACCTCCCATACATCAGGTATACACCTCCCATACATCAGGTATACACCACCTATACATAAGGTAAACACCTCCCATACATCAGGAATACACCTCCTATACATCAGGTATATACACCTCCCATACATCAGGTATACGTACACATCGGGTATATACACCTACAATACATCACTCATCAGGTATATATATACCTCCCATACGTCAGGTATACACCACCTATATATCAGGTATACACCTCCCATACATCAGGTTTACACCACCCATACATCAGGTTTACACCACCCATACATCAGGGCATTTTAGATCGCTATTCTCTGTAGGAAAGTTATTATTATATCTCATCTATATAGGAGTTGTCTTATTGGTTGTTTAGATTACCTCTTACCATACAAGACATATGAGCTTGGGGATCTCAACAATGTCCATGCTATGACCCAGGGAGGAAGTCCTCAGGGATGGGGTTGCGCTCCATTAAGGACTTGATAGCATGAGTGTTATTTTCTCTGCATGTCCAGAAACATATGAAAGGGATCTGAACTGATTTCATTGGGGAATAAGCCGTCAGGAGCAGGAAATGACTCCGGAGCCAATCCTGTAAGCATGGATGTGTTCAGGGTATGGTGGGGAATCTTGATCATTTAAAGTACATAAAGCTTTACACCCAAAATTTCTCTATGGCTGCTTTGTCCCAGTTTTTCAGACCTGAGATATGCTACAATCTATACAGTCATTAAGGAAAAGTAGTTTTTTGAAGATGAAATTGTCTTATTTTGCTCTGTATTGGGCCCATCTTATGCCATGCCCTTCTAGGTTGTAGAAACTTAACTGATACAAAATATGGTCACCTTATTGCCTCAGCCATTTTTACCGTATATTGTAACAAATTTATATGTTGACAGGTCATTCTAGAAAGTAGTCTTTTACAAGTTAACATTTGCCAATTTCCCCTTATTTGACCCGCCCCTCTACCCTAAGGTGGCCACATCCTTTCATAATATAAAAGGCCAAAATTATATTGTTTCGTGCCTACCCAAAACTTTTTTGCCAATTTTCAAAGGAAGAACTGTTCAAGTCAAGATCACTCTCCTTTCTATGTATAAGCTAAATAAAAATAAATGAAAAATTGAATTTATTACCGATCTATATTTATCCATATTTTTTTTCAAACATGTAACAGGAAACAAACATCTTTTGTTGTATATAGAGGATATTCATACCCAATTAGTGATGACTCTTTATGAGGTAATTCAAATAGTGTTAGTTTATATGCAGTATATTATCAACAAGTTTCAGCAATTAGATGAAATATAACTGAAAATAGTCACGAGAGATACTTCATACATAAAGACAGATTGATAATTGATTGCCTATCACTGTTTATATTGACAGGTATTCTGACACAATTGCAACACTATTTAAATAGGTGAAATTTAGTGATACAGGTTACATTATTAACAAAAAATGGTATAGGTATTATTTTAATTTCAATGAGAGGGTGAATATATCTCAGGGCTTTAACTATACTTAATAGTGCTTTACCTGGAATTGAGGATTACACACATTTTTAATGTTTTGCTACATAAATTATGTTGTTAAACAAATAGGTATATATCATATATATATCCTAGACCAAAATTGGCAAACAGTATTGCTAAATGTGCATCAAACAAATAATATGCAGGGGCCGCTGGATCATGATGTGGAATTACTTTGAATCTTAAAGAACCTGAGGAGTTATGGCTTGAGTTAGCCTCCGTGTTATTTTTTTCAGTTTCTATTATTTTGACAGTCTGACAGGTAGGTTAGATTTCTGATTAGATAAATATGTTTTACCATGAATTCATATATTTAAATACTTATAAAGTGCATGATGTTACTAAAAATTCATAACCTGTCTGTAATAGTATTAAT